ATATATGCCCTAAATGTACCACGATAGCCTTGTACAGTTGTTTCATTATGTTGCATAATCTGTATATTGCGGTAGGGGTCAGATATATTCGTTTTCCTCCTGATTGCAAAACGACGAACGGTTTAAGCCATCACGTTCGCTAACCAGATCCAAAAGCCATAAAAGGTTTAAAAACAACTGATTAACAAAGCTGTAAGGGTAATTGTTGTTGAGCGATGCCGGAATCGTGTGTAGAATTTTTTTAAACCGCTAAATCTCTTTTTTTCTTGCATGCCCTCTTTATCTCAAACAACGACGAAATGACCGGCAGTTGCGTATTTGATTAAACGCGTCCTCAGGTTACAATGTATTTCAGGCACCGTATCCCGCCTTAAGGTACTACGCACTCGATAACAATGGACTTAGGACACGATAATAAAGTGACGGCTAATGGTTACCCACGCCTGTGCCAAACTGATCTAAGCGGTCAACTGAATCACTGAAAAGTCGAAAGTTATCACTTTTATTATTGCCAGTTAGTCATCAAGTAATGATACGACTATGACTATTTTTCTTCGAATAGGTACAATCAGCTGACCAACTTCTGCCGTACTTCGTGATGGACGTCCTTGGCTATTGGACTCCACTGCCCGGCATCTTCGTGGCGGGCATCTTCGCCGCCTCGTTGAGCTCGGTAAGCTCCGGAGTGAACGCGCTTGCATCGGTCTTCTACGTTGATGTCATTGCCGTCATCAAAGAGGGCATTCCTGACAGCACTGGTGCGAAGATCATTAACTTGCTTGGTAAGCCAAGGCTTCGCCAGATGTGAACTTTAACTGGAAAGTGTTGGGAGTGATAGCAGGAAGGCTTAGTATTAATGGAATATAGTGGCAGAGTATTAAATAATTAAATGATGTGCGCCATCTTAGATCTTAGAAATCGTAGATCACAGTTAAAACTGTAACCGCATTGAAAATAGTTTTCCATCAGAACTGAAAAAATGTGTTTTTGCGATCTCTGTGCGAGCTTTTGCCCTCGGTTAGTCCTGTTGCTAATAATGTCGAACGGCATCAAATAGGAGATCTAACGATTGAATGAATTAGTTCTTTTTTTTTTTTTTAATATAGCCTATATATTTTGTAGTTTGTTATAATCTATGGGTCGAATGGTTTATGGCGCCAGGACTGGTATGTTGTATCCAATTTACAAACATATTAGGTTAATTTAAGTAATCTTATTTAAGCAACCTTTAAACGACAATTATTTTCACTAATGAAAAAATATAGGTATTGTGTAATTTATTTTTCTCACGTTTATAGAATTAAATGTTTATATAAAACCGATAACGACTAATAGACGACGCATATTCTATCCAAATACCGGTGCTCTGTGATATTTCTTATTCTAGAAACTACTCGGTTTTTTCACTACGAAAAAAGTACACCACGAACATCTTTCTATGTCCCATAAATATCTACAGCCTATGCGGTTTCTTTAAAGAAAAAATTATTATAAACTATTCGACGATCCTTGTTTGTTTATCGTTCTGGATACTAACATCGCGCGGACATATTCATACACGTGCTATGACAACAGCCTGAAGCGATTCATTAGTCAGTCAGACAATCAGACCACGTGCGGTCTGTATGGCATAGTATAATGTAGTAGTTACCCACCGCCTCAACCACGCCTATTTCGAAACACGCTAGCAGCAGTATTAGCAATGGCTTCACAAATTTTTCTATGTGTATGCGAGCGTGCTTGTATGCGGTTTGCACGTCACGGCTGCGTCAGCTCTCAGGCAGAGGAGGCTGCCTCGTAGAAAACTGTAAAAGGTCGTCCAAACGATTGTGATCGTTCCACTGAACTAACCGATTAAAACCAGTTTTTGCCTAATCTCTCAGGCGTCATTATTCAAAATAAGCTACTACATTGCCAAAGACAGCTGTCCCATCTACCTCGTAAAAGACGCAACTCTGATGGCGACAGTGGCGATGGTGCCTGAGCTGCTCATGCTACCGGTGGCGTAAACAGGAAGCAGGAGCGATGAGATGGAATAGTTTTCCCCGCCAGTGTCACAACAAAATGGAGAGCGAAAACAGTAAATGACGAAAAACGTTCAAATTGACCGCAATCAATAAGCTTACATCAGTTAATCACCAGGTTTTAAAGTTGATCGAGAAAGGAAAAACGGGGAAAAGGTGCAAGTTCCAATAATGGAATGAGGTGAGTGAGAAATCCAGGCGCACAATCCGCGGAGGTGAGAAACCTTAGCAGTAGGACCATGGGTGGTCGGTGACGCCAGTAAGATGGTGGAATTCCACCGTCACTTCCGACTTAGCGCCGATTTTTTCGGTTAACATAGAAAACACGCGTTCAGCCAGCCTGCATAATTGAGTGTCATCAAGGTAGAAACAAGCGCGACTATGACCGGCGGTTCTGTGAACCGAAATTCGTTGACCTCTCTGAATTTTTCTATATCACTCGCTGCTTTCCTTTCTCTCTTTATGTTTCTTCCCTTGAATCCAAAAGAATTGGCCATAGATAGACTTATGTATACGAATCAAAAACTACGATGTGACAGTGACCTCTCTGCGAGCCTATCAGATAACATATATACGTACTCCAAGCACCTCTGCTGATTCGAGCCATTGTACTGTTGTTTAGTTTACTGTTTTTGGGCACTCGACTTCAATGGATTCGGATTGCCGATAGCGATGAACACCGTTAGCGTGTCAGCTATAGTCCGCGCGTACAGGAAAAACATTTTATTGTATTGGTCTAACTGACGACCAAAAAAACGACAGAGGTTGACTGGCTGTCTGCTGTTATTGTTTCCTTCCCTTTGAATCGATTTAATCCATTTAGGTCTCCGGTCCATTCAGATCTTGGGAGTTGACGCGATTGATCCGATGCGGACGATTCTTTGACGACATTTGTCAAATAACTGAACGTACTTGGCGGCAACGGCTGCTCAGACTAGCGGCGCAAATTGTCCGATGTTGCTGGGCCCATCTAGGTTATCGATGACCATTGCGACGGCTTCTGAGCATATAGATAGATAGCTTTTGTGCCGGCAAACGACTGCTTCGAAGGCTTTATTGTCGTCGAAAGGAACGACGACGACACGCAAACGATGTCGGGTACCGCGGCTGGGTGCCGGCAAGTGGCTGGCTTGCTCACCCGCCGAGATGCTCTAGCTTGGACTTCCTATCCGGTAACTCCTAACGAGCCCCCTGCAGAGCAACTGCCGCACCAAAGTGACATCGAAGTCCAATCTAGGGAAGAAGGAGATAAAAAAGAAGAATGCGTCGACGTATCTATCTTTCGTCTCTTCCGGTCTCTCTAATATATCTAGCGAGCTGTCCTGTTTTCATTAAGGGTTCGACGGGATAAGTTTCGTATTTTGAAGGTGAAGCTGATGATGCTGAAGGCAACTATTCCACCAAACAGCTCTGCTAAATGCACGTGGTTAATAGATAATATACTAACAATATTATTACTATACTGTCACCCTCATTTTGCTAAGGAAACTATTGATACGAGAAAACTTTTCTGCTAATTATTTGACCGACTTGTATGCATCATTTGTTACTCATAGCAAAAATAGAAAACCATTAATTGGGTTAGGGCATAACCGGCTTTTATGTCTTTGATGCTGAAGCCATTCACTGCGTTGCAAACCAGTAATGTAAGTTCCTTGTAAAGTGCTAATGATATTTCGTCAAACTTTCTTTGTCTCCGCTATGGCAAGGTGTAAGACAAAGCCCAGCTATTTAGATATTAATGTTTTAGTTTTAAACACATACGAATTAATACGGTGATTTATTTTGTTGGACGACACGTCGCTTACCCTATACACGTCCAATCTCCATTCACAGATGTTACGTGAAAGCCCAAACTGTCAACTTTCCACAGCTTCGAATTTTTCTCCTGATCGCCCTAGAAAAACTCGTGATTTCAATACTCATATACCATAAAGCAATAAATCCTGAAGTGCCAGAACCTAGTAACAGAATTATATTTTATTGGGAAGTTTTTAAATACGACATATCGTAAGCGTGTCACAGCGGAGTTAACCCGCAGGTAACTTCAGGAAATATTTAGGCTTTTAGAGGTAACCCTGTACCACACCGTGCGTACGTGTACCCACCTTGGTGACGGCTGGGCCTGCGGATGCCGATTGATACCTAGTAGCCCTCTTCTAGTGATGAGGCATGCTAGCGCTAGTACAAGAAATACAGAAAATGAATACGGCAAATAGATAAACAAACTTTCGATGTTCCCGCTGAGCTGTAACTGACCGACTCAGAGCGGTTCAGCACCGTTTGCCCTGCTGGCCTAGACCTGCGATAGGCCGTAGCACATGGCACAGATAAGTAACTGCTCCCCGCACAATCTAACGGTGGCTTACGGGCGTCAGGACAAAAATAAGGCGCTTATTAAATTCAAGTATACAGGAGGACAAGCGGCTATACGACAAACGGTAAAAAGCAGAAAAAACACCAACTCATTTCACGCACATTATTGAAAAGCACAAACGCCTACATATGCCTCGGTTTGGCTTAAGCTCACAAAAAGGAGGCTCTAGTTATCAAATGAATCGTGTCATTTTACTAAATCCTATTGTTGTTACTATTAAGCACCAACCTCCGCGCCTACCCCTCACCGTAGTTGGCCCACATGTTCACGCTACCACAACCCTCGACACCGTAGCCAATCCGGCTGGACTGTTCCTCCGTGGTTTTCGGTGTTTAAAGTGCAACAGTCTATGTTCTACTGTGTTTATACTCAGTAGCCTGTAAATAACTCCCGCCTTCCGCCCACTGGACTTAGGAAGCTTCTCGATGGTGCAGTGGCTATCTGTTCAAAGTATTTGCTAACAAGGGTCAATTGTCTCTAGAATAGTTTTATTCTTTGGTGTTGTTGTTGTTCTTGTTCTATTGGTTACAGTAACCAGCCACCGGTTTGCTAAAGAATCGTCCGTGGGAAAGAGAGGTTCGCAATAGCGGTGTTATTAATCGTGATGAAAACGACTTCTGCTTTGTTTACGTTAGGTGTTGCATTCGGCATCTCATCGATTGGTCTTGTAGGCATTACGAAACAATTGGGAAACGTACTAGAAGCGTCGCAATCTGTCAACAGCGCAATTGGAGGCCCGCTTTTAGGCCTATTTACAGCTGGAATGCTATTTCCTCAGATCAACACCACAGGTAAGAATTGTATCACCAATGCTACGATTAAGATAGAGTACATTTAATATCATGCTACATCAGCAGCGCATAACAAACACTTGGACGAAGGACTGTTCATTTCAGCGATTTTTATTTAGGGATTTGTTGGTCGTTATAGTACCCGTTCGAAACGTATTAATGGTTATGAACAGAAGCTCGCATAGTTCATCTTCACTATGTAGATGTTCATAACTTCCTTCCGCTGCTATATCCAAGGTACACTAGAAGGACATCTGTGGCGGAGTCTGGGGAAAAACTACTAATAACTTTCACAAGCGAAAATTTCCTGTAAGCTATCGACAGATAAAAATTATTTTGACGTATTTACTGCCACGAAATTGTACCGAGCCATTGTTTTGTCGCTCTACTTTACGTGTCACAACCTTAGGTAAAGTTATTGGGTATCATATATTTTGTATTTAACATACGAGGCTGTGGAACATGGCGTTCTAAGTAAAAAAAAAAGCGCCTTCTGCAGTGTCGCCTTGAAGGTTACCCCGTCGCTCACTTGAGATATATCGAACTCCTACATGAATCCCCTGTGAAGCAAAGGACCGTCGTCGGTGGGGTCATGTCTGTTCAGCATCCATTCCTAGGACTGCGGCAGTGTAGTCGCATGTGAGTGGCTGAGTCGGGCAATTGAACTTCTACGCTACGCAGCAAGCGAGTTACGTCCTTTTCAGCATTTGTCATACTACGCATGCGACGCACCGCTAAAACTCGTAAATAAGCACTCTCACGTTCTGTACAGCCTCTATTGTAAATTTTAATCGAGGGCTGGTTATTGCACCGTCATGATAAAACACGGATTTCGGTTCTGCGCAGCCTTCTACAAGCTGGCCTGTAAATGCGCGCATTGGCCGGTCACGGCGGTTGTAGACAAACTATTATCTCAACCGTATCAGTCAACTACGTGTTTTTAATGCTCTCTGTGTAAGACCCAGCATGAAGATTCGTTTCGACGTCTAGGCGTATATAGTAATCTATGTGATATTATTACTCATGCACTACCAACTTTTCCGAAGTCGTCGATCGAACATACCGAAGTTAATGCGAACTATTTCGAGGGCGGCGAGCAGTCGATGTGCTGATGCTATATTTTTTACTCAATTCTAGGGCGTTTCCTTCCTTCCCTCTCAATTTTCCACCGGTTGGAGCGTCACTGTCGTCACCGCCGCCGAAGGCTTAGAAGTTGATAGGGAAAGCGGGCGGGGAGAGGCAAGTTGGGACAAAGCTTGTCTTCACAGTGAAAGTCGGTGCAGCAGGTTGGCTCAGGATAACGATGGCCCCGTCATCCATTACGACACTTTCTCTTACACGTGCCTCTGCAGGCTTTTCGCAATGTTTCGCTCACTCACTCGCTCACATTGCTTTTATTCAATCCTCTCTTTCTTCTTGCTTCTCTTCACTCTGAATAAACGTCGTCGCCACCAGCACTGCCGCGGCTGCTGGTGCTGTGACTGCCGACATCAGATGATCCTTATTCTAATTTGATCATCACGGGTGGCACGGAAACGGGATGGCAGAGAGGGAACGGCGTCTGCTTGGGCAGCATTGCGCCTTGGATCATTCACACCAGCAAACACACACATAAACACTGAGATACACGCAGCAGCTACACAGCGCTTGACTTCGGCGATTCTAAAAATGCGTACACGTCATAGATTGCTGCGGTAGGAGGCGTCGATGGGGTTGGTGGGTTAGGGTCGAAATCAGGGTATGAGGGGCTGCGAACGGTAGGATCCTTAATAGTGACGGCGTACAGCCAGCTATGGGATGCAGATTACGTAAGCTGCCCGTTTAAATGAGTCACGTGGTGGGATGCCAATAAAAAGTGAAAAACAAGCGATTCATAGAAGGCCACAATGACCCAAGTGGCTGAACAACCCAGTTAAGCGGCATAGCAAAGAATGACTAAAGTTGGTGGAACAAGCGAAAGGTGTTTTTTAAGGCAATGTTTGCTAGTTCAAGGAGCGCACTGCATCCGAAGTGAGTACTGTTGCGGCCATCGCTACCATGATCTCCTTAATTCGACTACATGTGTTATACTGCAAACGGCTTCGAGCTGTCCTACCCACAGAAAGGTATCGATGACCCATTACTCATCTGCTGCCTGAAAATCTGCCTGCGCCGTGTCCTACGGATAGCTGCGTGCCGCCAACTTGACAGCTCATTTGCCGTTTCTGCAAACGCCGAATCATGTAAAATCGTTACCGCCATCGCTAAAAACTCTTTGGTGTGACGAGCTCACCAAGCTAATAGGACAGAAAGCCTTTTCGACTTTTTTTCTCTGCTTCGCTTCTTGCGCCATTATAAAACTTCAAGGCGTTGCGACCGCTCTTTATGCACTCATGACAAGAAACTAAAAAGCAACTGTCTCTGCTATACTGGCAACAACGAACGCCCAAAGGAAACGATGACAATGCCGACGGTGGCTCTGACGTGACTCAAGCTGAGAACGTTCGTGACTTCAATGCGACAGCGAGAGAATAAAGACCAGAAGGAAAAAAGAGAATCTGAACACGAGCAAATTCATTGACGACGGCGAGAGGAAAATTATAAATGGACAGGGAGCAAAGTGTGAAAAACAGCATTCCATTCGGGATGTAGCAGAGCAGCGATTAACGCCTTACAGAGGGAAAAAGTATACGGCTGACCGGGAGGCCTGGTGGAACCAGCCTGTTTCATGCTACTGGCAATAGATAATAAATATTTCAGGGATTGGTAAACTGACAGTTGGAATAACGAGAAAAAGGCAGATGGACATGAAATGCCAGGGAAAACCAGAAAAAGACCAAGACCAAGGGCTTTCGTGGTCGCTTTCATAATCACTTCCACTTTTCGTTTTGCTGACGCTTGCCATCTGGATGGCTTCCTGTGGCCTGATAGAATGTAAACAGGAGGGGAAACTGGTCCTGCGGATGTTCGCGGAGGCTGGCGAACGAAACAACGGACCATGCTTCCCAGCAAGAAAGGCTGTAGGAGGCACGGTGAGGTTCATTCTATTCTGTTACGCTTTTTCCGCTACGCCATTCACTTATCGCCTGTTGCTACTGATCAAGCCTTAAGCAAAGGGGGACCGAATGATAGTTATGTCTTTCCCATCCAGTCCTCCTCCTCGATACATTTGATGAGTGGCAGACGGTAGCAGGGTGATAGTAACCGTCGATGAAAGAGAGGGATGGCGAAGTAAAAGAGAAATGGCGAAGGAGCTAACGTGGTGGACGATGGATGTATATATAATGCGCGCATAGTTTGAGGCGGAAAACGATGACGCCACTAGTGAACTGGAAGTAAAGGCAAATTTAAAGACAAAGTAGAGCGAAAGGAACCATAAGGCAAGGAATGGGCAAAAAAAGGGGTGCCAGGCCGTCCACCGCCAACTGTCTATTACTGATGCTGCTACTGCTTCTGACGCCCATCGTCTATGGCTTCGGGTCTGTCTCTCTTGCCTACTCTCTTCATCTGCTATTCGGTATCCGATTTTTTCATCTGGAGCCCCCCTCGCTTCTATGCATCGTGCTCACTTCACGTTGTTTCATTGTCCTCTTTTATCTTTTATTCGACCGCTCCTTTTAATCGATTTCTCGACTTCTCCTTCCTTTTACCACAGTCGCCCTTCGAGTTTAGAAGTCGATTGTACGGCGAATGAGCAAACTGCCGTTGTTGATCGCGGGCTGTAACCGAAATGTCAGCGGGACAAATAATGGCCAATTAGGCGTCCTTTCCTGCTTCCTTTTTTCGGCCTGTAGTCATAGTCGTGTACGAAGTCGTCCGGTTTCTTGTTTTCTTTTCCACCTTTCTTCCGCTTTCCCCAACCTTTATTCCCTCGTCTTTTCCGATGGATGGGCGTAGCAAGACGGTATAATACTGCCAGCGGGTAGTTAGCGCTCATTTTGAGATCATCCCGCAATTGTATGTACACACACACACACACACACCTTCAGAGATCCATTGTCGTGCAAGAGTATATGATTACGCAGGCATTTCACCAATCATGCTCCTCTGGAAAATCTTGCTTTTTCGATAGCTTTTTATCTTTCTCTAAACTTTCCTTGCCTGCCTTTTTCTTGAAAAGGTAAAAGAGAGGCGATTTATGTGTCCAGTAATGACAACATGTATCTAGCTTCGCCAGTAGCTAATGTTCGCGTTCGGGTTTTAGGGGTCTGGTTTGATCCGGGCCCGGTTCGAGTTTGCCTAAGCCTCGTTGCTACTGTGTGGGAGAACCGGCAGCCACCGTAACGACCCACTCTTTTAGCTATTTCTCTCTGACGCTTCTTGCACTCATTTGGGTCGTTGTGCGCATGACGTCTTGCTCAGTGGGGTTTCAGCCTCCCGGCCGCTCTCGCAGCCCAAATTTGCTTCTGGTTTGGTCGGGCTCGGTTTGCATTGCCTTATCTATCTCACTTCACAATACAGTGATCCTGCAGTAGTACCCTGCCGTCTTTCTCAAACTGCCCAACAGCGGCGGAGGGAACCCTTCCTACTGTGTCCTGAAAGAACTACAGCAGTTAATGGTTGCCACACTGGGACGACCACACTCATGGCGTTGTTAACGGCCTTTTTCACCTAGACGCACCTTTGTATCCACAGCAAAAGAGACTTATCGCTTTTGCCACGCAATGTGCTGACAACCCACGTTGTTTACCATATGGCCAGGCAAGCCAGAGCATGCTGAGAGGTCTGTGAAAATCTTCCGCTGAACCTTTATGTAGTAGTTGTTCATGCCACGTAGGTGCGTCGTTGACAGACGTCGCAACGATGCAGGTGGTCTTATCCAAGACGCTAATTTTTGGCCAGTGTTTTTCAAAGCACTCTCCCTTCCATTCGCAAAACCAATCTCATCTCTGAATGACTCTTCATTTCACATTAACTTTGCAGGCGCACTGTGGGGTCTTTTTGTGTCGTTGGCAGCGTCTCTTTGGATCAACATCGGCGCGATGATTGCCGGTCCTAGCAATATCAGGCTTTCCACAAGCTTAGCTGGCTGTCCCGTCAACTACACTGCCGTCGAAGAAGCTATCCCCACGTATTTACCCTATAGGTATAGTTGAATCATTACAAATGCGCTATTGACATTATAAACTGGTACTGATTTCATTATGCATTTGGTGTCGTTGAGTATCTATAAAAAAACATCTAGTCTGTAATGTGTGCCGCATGGTAATTTTTGTAGAAGCTGAAGCCTCTTAGCATTGATGCCCAGACAATAGGCAATCCTGCTGTGTACGATATATCTTATGCGTCCGTGGACACAGTATAGACAATGCTAATATATTCTTCTAAGATAATAATAATAGTATACGTTTATAGCTGTTCTTTATTTATGTGTTCACAGTATATTGGCGTACATTTTCATGTAAAACAAACATAGAGGGGAGTGTTAAGCTACTGAGCTATACATGTTTACCGTATTGGCCTCCTATATACATACATACATACATATATCTATTATGTAACAGTAAAAGAAACGCAGATTTTCAGTTTCAAAAAAGTCAGCAACGGCGGACGGACTAGCTAAAAAGTAATTTGATTACGTTATTCAGTGTTGGCTGCTGTGCGACAGAGCATATGGAATATGGAGAGAAACAATGAAAACTTGATCCGGATTCTCTCAGTGAACGGTTAGCTTTATGGTGGTTGTTATGGCACCTTATGTTTATGCCGGAAACCGACGCTTGGGACCCCGCTGCAATTCGTATGACGCTGACACCCATCTCGCCTCCGTCCGAGTGCATTATTATTAGTTTTCCGGTAACCGTCGCAGACTTTATTGTATGTTTCTAATTTTTCATCATAACGGCATTCAACAGTTCTGTAGACAGATGGAGTATATTGTCGGGAAACAGTGGTGACTGCAATGACGACTGTAGTGGCCTAAAATGCAACCTGTTCTAGCTAGCTATAGCTATTCGCTTCCTATCATAGATACTGAAACCGCACTAGATGGAGAAATAAACCGCTTTGCTCTTCTTACGTCAAGCGGCAGCGGACCAGCAGCGGCACTTTCTTCACGGCGGTTGCTATAGTGGTTTCATACTCCCCCAAACTAGTAGATTCTGCTCGCAATGCATGAGCGATAAACTCTTGTACAGAATGGACACGCGCAGGCCTTTGTACAGGCGGGCAGATAGGCCGACTGACCCGACTCTAGTCCCCTCGTTTTCTTTCCACCAAGGATCTGGCAGCCGCAATGGCGATGGCAACCTAAAAGAGGCATCCTCATACGACCCAATAGAATAGATCTACTCAGTCAATGCCTTTTCTTATTTCCAAAGACTGGTTCTCTGCTGACCAGTCTGTTTGCATTGGTGCGTAAATAAGCCGACTCAACAACCAATAAATGATCCATACGGGCGCACCATTCGACTATACGTGTGACAGCTCTAAGCTCCGTTCGCCTGGCCTGGGTTCCGGCCTTGGTGTGGCCTTGTTGTGGCCGACTGGGGGCAGTTAGATGCTCTAGGTTACGAAGAAAACTGGTTTCACTTCCCACATGCAGAATTTGGGGTGTAAAGGAAAACAAGGACGCTACTGTGGCGGGATTTTCAAGGAGAAGCACGTATAGCCGTCACCCTTTACTGTGCTTTGCAATTCATTGTGACAAGCAAACATTTGCACACCAAGCATTTGCTTTCCGTTGAAGTAAACAAAAACATCAACTTTGTTGAAAGCGGTTGACAGACGAACCGACGACTGTCAACCGTAACGATTGCTGGCGTCTTTCACGTTCAGCGACTTCAGTGATGAGACTAATTTGAACTCGAAAATACCCTATATGTATATAGATTCTTATGCCGACAAATGCTATTGTGTACACGCATAACCTTCCGTATATATAATTTTGATAAACCCACCAATGGTATTTTGAGACAATTGTCCACCTGAAAAACGCGTACTGCACAATATGTGATTAATAAATAATTATGCTTATCGCCGATGGCATATGTAATCATATTGACAAAAGCAAATGTTGTTTAAGCAGCAATCTCCTACAGTGCTTCTGTGATTCTGTGCTTCCGCGAATGTGCAAAAAGTGCTACACATTGCGTCATACTGCTATTTCTATTGAGACTACGCTCATTTTATTTCTTAAACAAGGATACCATTCGTTTAAGTGTACGTAATGCGTTTCACCAGATGCTCAAATGGCCCACGCATGGTGCTGAATGAAGACAAGACGAAATCGAAGATATTCCTCGCACATCGCAGACAGGATTAAGGGCATCCTTAAAGCCCATGGTCCCTATAGAACAGGTGATGTAGGACCGTTGTAGATGATACAGTGTACGGCGTACCTAAAATTCCTTCACAGTAGATCTTGCTATGACTTTTATTCAGAGTTGATAAGATTTGAGGTGCTTCTAAACTAGCACTTGGTTTTCCGTTGGCAAAAACTAGGATCGAATGAAAAAGATAATCTACTGCCAAAATGAAGAAAGGCTGTTCAAACTAGCTTAAATGTCATTGTATACTACAGATAGATAACAATAAAATACTGAGCTTTAAGTACTATATGGGAAACTGTCGCTACGTATGCAAGGCTATCTCGGTTGATACGTGGTGCCAGAAATAACGAGTGAACTCGTTTCCTCGTCCTTAAATAACTGCTGTGTCTGGCGTTAAGTGTAGGCGTGGCTATAGCACGCACTTACAATTGTTAGAAAAGATGTGAAGATTTATCCTAAATTTACTTTGGCGGCAAGTACTTGGAAAATGCGAGGTGAATGTTATAGCACGGTTAAAAAGGGCACATCGATATATTTCCGTACCCATTTCCCTTCAAGTTTCGCATCGAGGCACACATACGAGTCCATACACCAACGACGCACTCACACTGAAAACTGCTAGACGATAATTACAAGCTCATCTACACAGGCTCGCAAGGAACAATGACGTCGGAAAAGCCAGCGAATCGAACGACAGAAAACAGAATGGTCCAATTGTTAGCTTTCGTCGTTATAGCTATGAAGATAATGATCGGCGCGGCGCGATAACCAAAACAATTGCGAATCTTATCCCACTATTATTATGTTAAGTACTATTATTATTACTGTCGTCATCATCATCATCGTATCTATCACTAAATGTTTGTGTTTTTCGTTTGTATGTCGTTTGCGCAAAAGTATCCCCGAGAGCAACGTTCTATGGGTGTACCAACTCTCACAGCAGTGGTACTCGTTAGTAGCGTTCGTGCTAGTATTTCTGGTAGCCATGCCCATTTCCTTGGTGACGGGATCCCTCGACGGATCTCAGCTTGACCCGCGCCTCATTCGACATCCCGCGGATATTTTTCTTTGGTGGATGGATGATGAAGAACGGGAGCGGTGGCGTTTCGATGTGGGCGAAAACTTCGTAAGTGTTCTGTGTTACGGTAGGAGATAGGATTCTGCGTTAGGAGCTTAAGTCACGACTAAAGTTTTTTCTCGCAACAGCAGTCAGTAATCAATCTAGAAGAAGAATGAGTACATTAGCAAAAGAAAACATACAAGTTCTTGGGGATAACTAATTAAAATTATCTACGAGAATCCGCACACACTTGTAACAAACTTTATTCTTTCATCTAAACAACCAAGTTAGTGCAGAACCGAGAATCAGAATTTTCGAAGGTGTCTGATTAACTATAGCTCTTACAAAACTGATATAAAAAGATATATCTCAAATTAACATGGGAAGCGCTTACCAGTACTTTTACTAACAAAACGTTTCTGCATATTGCTATTTGTCTTGCTTGTATCAAAACAACAATGAGCAATGTTCAAAGTGCTTAAAGGAAATCACCTGTTAATGCCGCTTAGAGTCGCACCCACACATTTACCCTTAAAATTTTCTGCCCGCTTAATATTGCTCGCTAACTGCTGCGTAGACAGCTGTAGAGCGACCGATCTATACCCAGTGGGCAGTAGATACTTGACTGGGCGGGTGTCATTGGTATTCGAACAGAAGTAACAAGTCCTTTGTGCCACCTCGCTGCCACTGGCGGGTGCATAGAAAAAAAGGCAATTAGAAAAAGAGAGTACAAAGGACGGACAATGAACAAGGTATCGAAGAGTGGGTTTTGCAACAACTATCCGTTTCGCCATCCGTCCTTCGCGAGTTAGCCTCTTGCACTCAGCGATGAAGCTGTACCTACCTCTCACGACCAGCAAGCCATCGATGCAGTGTCACAAACGAAACCGCAGCCGTTTGCTGCTAGCCGCAGCAATTTGCTCCCTAGTCCAACATTTAACAGCCACATGCATTAAGATGCATTGAGCGTTCTTGACATCAGTAGGTCCGACGTCACCACTGGTCGCCCATTCCCCTTTAGATCATCGACGCAGCTCGGCTAGTAGCCAACCAACAAGCACTGTTCGGACGTGCGTGTAAGTGTAGGTTAGCGGTTACCTTCTTACCCCTTCTTGCAGCTTTTTCTCAAGGTTCATTTTCGTGTCGTTCGGTTGGGGTTGAGCCAGGTTTTGAGCCTTCTCTCCACGACGTCGCTACGTGTTCTGTTAGGTCATGTCAGTCGGTCATTTCGTTCCAGGCACCTTCGCTGTCTCACAACTACTAGTAGAAGTGGTGGTAAATGGAAGCAAGAAAGCCGGAAGGCAGAAGTGGGAGAAGTAGAAGGAGTGAGCAGAAGTGAGGGCTCGAAGCAAGTTCGAAGGGAAGGACAAGGATTGTGTATGCTTGTTCACACGCACATATGCACAGACATTTAAGAAGGGAATGTGCAGAAGAGCAAACAACGAGGGTTTTCCTATTCGGCTCATTTCAATGTCCGACCCGTTCCCATCAACCTGAAAATATCCGGCTCATCCCTATCGTCGATAGATTAAGGATGGCACACTGCAATCACTTCTCTGCGTGACGCTTGCGACGCCTCGTCCCTGTCGCGCCAGCCTTGAGGTTGGCTCTATTGCCTTGCTCATTTTTGCCACCAGCTCCCATAATCGCCTTCAGGATATGTGGCCGGCGTTTTCCTTTCTCTGTTCCACACCTCATTTCTACTTCCCTCGTCGATCTGTCGCCCCAGTCGCTGCATTCAGATCTGTTCGTCTATTCGAACTTCGTCGTCTTTTTCTCTACCTCTCGTTTTACCACCGTCGCACTGCTTCGTTTGCCGTCTGCCGTTGTTATCTTCGTTCAAAGTTCCCTAGGCTGTTACTGGTACTGCGACCGATGCAGCCACCGCTAGCAAACTGACCAGCTACGTGACTACCTCTTACCTAGCTAAAAGATAGCGAACTCCTCAGTAGCAACTGTAGGAAAAACCAACGAGAACTTTGTATGGCAGAAACAGTTATAGTGGTCAGCTGCTGCTGCCGCCGGCGCTACCGAAGCCATCGCCGTGTGCCAGCTGGCGCCCCCCGTCCTGGTGCGCCTCTCATACGCCGCCAACAGCCGCGCCGCCCGAGCACCGAACGGCGGTTGTGGAGCAGGACAACTTCATATCCTGTGCGCCCTCCTGAGAAACATCGTCGTTATCGTCGACAGACCGCTATGCCCTCACTCACCCCAGTAAAGGACGACTGCCTGCCGGTGATGTATGGGGATTAATTACTATGAATAGAGCAAACTGCCGGTGAAACAACAACAACAACACAGAAGTAGCAATACTAGTGCTAGTGATCACTTTTCGGCTGATATTGCGCTAATAATGTGTTCGTCTACCAAACTTAGACATACGTGTCGTGCATAAGTTCAAAACTGGGAGTAGACATACCGAAAGGCAGCCGTTTGAAGCAGTGCTCGAGGGCGTAAAACTCGAAACATATATTTCAGCGGTCGTTCAAAGTAATACCTAATGGTGATAATACCGAAACTAGGAATCGCAATATTTTAGTAATCGTGTAGTAATCAGTGAATTAAGTGCTACAACAACATCAATCGCGGGACGACAATGTCTATGCGACCGTGGCAATGAAATATGCAAGCCGAAGGCGACAACGTAACGAGAGCCAGAACAGAACTGTTTTGACGAATAAAAATTGGCCAAATTAACGTGAAAAAGAAGATTATTTTTGTTGCGCTAGGAACAGCGTCACAGAGGACAACGGGACACGTAAACAGACAGAGGCACCGAACGTCCTTAGCTCCCTTGCTCCCTGGTTTCTGCACGTTTCCGCAGCAAGACCACTTGAGCAAAAATCGGATGATAACGCTGACAATAACGCGCTGCAGATAATGCAATTAACGTCCGCGGGGGGGGCGTGCTTGCAGCGTCGTTTTAATTCTGTTGTTCCATCGCTTCGAAGCAGGCGACTGTTCTTACTACCAATCCAACGACTACCTCTGCATTTATATTCACTCCTTTTACGCGCGTTGAACGAATGGTACATCGACCGAGTAGATTTTTTTTACGGGTTTTATTTTATTGGTCGAAATATATAAGACGTACACTACTTGGCTATATATAGCGCTATGCTGAAACCCGAATTACTCAATCAATACTGCTGCCTAGGTTATGTGAAAGCTTAACAGCACATTGTTGAGCATTGATAGATATTGTATCGTTTTATAAATATCGTCAGCTGGTTTGCCATTGATAGCTAAAGTATGTATTTCGTGTTTGTTCAGAAATTACAAGAGAAGAGAGTGTGTAATTTAGGTGAATATATGATACAGACTCTTCTAGTGTAATGCATTCTAATAATAACAACAACAACATTGCACCAGAAGCTTTCCAACGATAGCATCACCTTTATAGCTATACGGCATTGCAAGTACAGCACCATTCTCCTGCACTGAACCGTTTATTCCCTAGTTTAGTCCTGGCAGGAAGCGATGAGACGAGGTCTGGTCATCAAGTGCAATATGCAATAAGATAGCTGGAATATGAGTGCATTTCCGTCCGTGTGTGTTTGTCAGTGTGTATGTTTATGTGGATGCGTGCGTATTTTGTATGTGGTAACCGATTGCCGTTGGTCGTCTAGCCTTTTCGCGCTGATATTATGTAGACCTAGTACATTTACCTCCCTTTCACATACCCCCGCACATATATAGCCCGCGTCCATTACCGGTTCCCCGCATTTTCCAGTTCCCATCGATGTGAAGCCAGGCCACATTTCCAGGCCAATAGAGTGTTAAAGAGTGCTGAGAGAGTCGAAACGAACGAAGCTATTCTGGGGCGCAAAAGAGCTGCTGATGTAAGTTAACATTCTTAACATCGATGGACTTTTACGCAATGAACAAACAAAAAGGCCTTTCAGATGCCAACCGAAACGCGATGTGTGCGTAATAACACTATAGTCAATGATACTCTCAGCGCAGGTAACAGCTTTACGAACTCCCCGATATGACGTTTAACTGGCTGCCGACAAATCGTTACCCAGTTCCCTGCCGCATCGACTACATACAGGTCACGGTAACTAGTACTCAATGGAATCGAGCGGAAATATAGTTTTTGTGCCGTTGACTGAACTACTTAGTTTCTGAAATTTCTTGAACAATAGATAGGTCCGGACACTAGGTTTGACTTAAAAAGATATGTCATCCACAAAAAAAATCTGAACTCTATGAGAAAAGGTTGCCGAAAATGCAGACGAAAGGGAGTACGTTAAGCGTACACCCATAATAAGGTTGACGCAGCCGAAGCAAAGACCGTTTTGTACGTTGCTTTCTTACGAAAGGGTCGGCTGATAACAATTTTAAGCATATCGTCTAAACGGTTAGATAAATTAATTTGGAACCTGAACAGGTTCCTTAAACAAGTGAATTAGACACTATCGTACTGAGGAATACAGGAAGTTTACCTATGCCTACTTAATGAATCCTAACTCGAAGACCAGCTAAATACGTACTACCGGGTAGAATTTGTATGCGCTGTGTATTTCCAGACTCACTTATTTCATGAGCGTATTAACTTGGTGAAACGTGCCATTGGAACTGATGTCCTTGCCACAGGTGAGCTTCGATAACGAAACGAATAATCACGTCACCGATATAGGTCGCAGGCTGCATGATAAACCGGTCCTGGATAAGGTAGGACTGCGTCTTTGAAGCAGCCAAGTCGAGAGAACAGTCGAGATTTTGGAAGGGACACGTGATACTCTGTCCGATATACTGATCTGATAGCAATAAAGGGGCGGAACAAAAGGGTGCCGCAAGCCGCTTCCGCTGAAACGGCAGTGATGATGACTGTGGCAAATGGAACGGCTATCTCGGAAAAGCATTGGTTTATGTGGCGAGATAGAAATATGCTTCTCGAAACTCTCTAGAAAACGATGGGGTCGATGTTGCTTCCAATCCAAACTCAGAAAGTCCCGCCAATAAAATGTGTTGTCTTTGGGAAATCGTATCGGTCCTTATCTCCTTGTCAGCTTCGATGTACACGGCAGCTAAGACTCGTGACGGCTGCTTGCTGTAATGAAATAGCCTCGTTTCGCGCGTGCCATGGTACATCATTCGGCATATACCTACCCTGAAAATTTATACCTACTTTAACGTAGACTGAAACACCAGTCAGCAGTAAGCTGAATGCGTCTACCAAAGCAAAAATCCGTTCTACGCCTTTGACATCGATATCTTCATTAGTTTACCACTATGTATGCACACTGCACACATTCAGTTATACGTGTATTTTGACTACATATACTATTTTTAAATCGGCAACAATGTGCTAACTTTATTACTCCATTAGTTCAGTTTATTAGACATGACGCGCGTCTACCCTGTTTATGCCTTTCATGTATTATATGACGTCGGTGCTACAATCGTTAATGACAATCATTATCAATCAACTTTTTACTGTTTTCTTTAATCCTTGCGTGATGTATCCTACTGCCATCCATGCCGTTACGGCTACAGGAAAAAGGAGAAGTCTTCGAGCCCGGAAAATCTGTATCATCGTTCTCGGGCGTTCGAATGTCAACGTCCTGCCCAGCTTCACGTAAATCAAGTTTTTCCAGTATTGAAATGAGACGTCGACATAACTCTGTCTTTATGACACCATACCTGTCCGACGTCACAAATCCAGCTGTCAACGATAACCTCGGCTCAAATCGGCGTCAGTCGCGCCGATCGACGCGGTATTCCGCGTCAAGTACCCGATCCAAAACCCGTAAGCCCAGTTTCACCGATTCCGAGATGATGCGACGACAATCTCAAGTCTTTATGGCCGCGTACATGCCGCCATCGACGCCACCCGCAACAAAATTGCCGCTTACGTCAACGTCGACTATGAGTGCTACCATTAGCGAACACAATGTTCCACCAGCCAGCAGCTTGCGGACCGGTAGACCGTCGGGACACTATTCGTTCTCCTACGCCGATGAAATTCCAAACGAAAAGACGCTGTCACCATTAAATTCAACCATTTCCGAGGCGGCTACTAGCGACACCGGTCACGCCAATACCAACATCAATAACAATAAATATGACGGTGACAATAATGATAGTTACTGTGGTAGCAACAACGATCTGTACAAGCATCACATAGAGAGGTTCTAGATCGATGTATTTTTTTCTTGCAACGAATGTTTAGCCGCCGGAAAACGATGATAACAATAATAAAGAGTCTTTAAGGCATTTTTGTTGTGTATGAGCCCGTTTCACAGGATGTACGTACGTATTGGTATATTAGCAAAAACGACACTAAAAAGAAAAGCGTGTACTATATAGTTATAGCGATTATGAATCTTCATTGCACTGGCGGGATGGATCAGTAAAACAGATACGCTCGTTGCCGAACGGCCGAACGGACCCTTGGTCCTATTCTCAACGAGATTGATTAGCCTGTTGCGAACAGCCACAAGTTCAGCTCTATCGTAAAGCCATCGTTTCTGATATTGCTTCAAACTGATGCTATTCTCAATCCTACTCGATGTTCCACTGACTTTGCTTTGAGGATTAACGCAATACATATCCATCAACAAGAGGATCCGGTTTTTGGCCGGCGAGCTATTAACAAACAAGTAATAGAGTTAATAAAAAAAAAAAAACAAGTAGAATTGTTTCTAAGACCCACTGTAATCAAAATCGTTCCATTTGCTGCAGGGTAAAAGACAGCTAGTGAAATGCGTCCGATGCAACCGATATACCCGACTAATGCTCTCTAACACTATTGGCTTTGAAAAAAAAATATTTACACACGAGAGGTGTAGAAACAATCAAATTAACTTCAATATTAGATTAAATTTTATGATACAAGCCATTGCATTGTTCAAATATGCAACATGTGTGTAAAAAAAAAAATATATATATATATACATTATCCTACAACGGTCTCTGTATTGGAACACTGTGTTAAACAATTGTTGTACAAACAAATCATATTTATGTATAGACCAACATACTGTCGGTGTGGCAGTATCGTCAGCATCACTAGGAAAGCCTACAGACACCGTGTTTTTGCCATGGGTTTTACGAAAAAATGTTTATTGGTCCGGTCACTTTTTAAACTAACAGATTGACATGGGGAAATTTTTCGTGCAAGCTACATTAAGTATAGGTAGCACGGAACCTTTTACCTTTACTCGCATTTTGTGCTCTAAAGCGTATTGATGGAGCGTCTATTTTGGTTACTGGCGAATTTGTTCGGCAAAGAGAGCTTGCCATAAACAAGCTAACACATTTTTGCATTTGTAGTATATACATACTTTGTTACACCTACTTAGTTAGCTATATATCAGCGTCCTCGGTACACACAGGGTACCGCTTGAATTTTTTTCTAAATAATTCCTTAAAACCGCAAATGATCGTTGCACAGGTTACAGCTAAACATAGAAACACGCTTTACAGAAAAGGTATCCATATCATAAATCTGTTATATACAGATATATAATTTCTATTAGGTACATAAAGTATTTAAATACCTTTACAAGCGAAAAGCGACAAACATTTAAAATCTTCCTATTAAAATACAGTGCTTTGTTATTACATTAATATCTGACATTGTCTATGCTCGTCTTACTTTGGCCGTTGCCAAAACTCGAACGGGTGGCTGATTGACTGTACAGCCATTGGCCGCTATTGCTAAAATTAATTTTTCCCACCGTCGCTGCCTTCATGTCAACGTTTAGGCGGCAGTGAGTTTAATGCAAAAAAAAAACTATTCCTTTTGCGGGATACGAATGTTTATTAGATATCCTTCTCTCGCTGTCTCTCTTTTGCTATACATATATATGTATATAGAAAAAGAGAGAATTTTGTTTTTAAGGTTTACTTCCTTTCTGCATATATATATATATATATATGCAGGGAGGAAGTAAATGGACTTACATTGTCTTTGTTTCGCTATTTTACCATCTCGCGAGAACAAAAAAGGACGCCAGTTGACTTTTTTGCCAAATAATGTCTTATTATAACTATTTATTAAGTATATATTAGTAACATATGAAGTTATATTAACAAGCAATTAGTTTGTCGGATAGCAGCAGCCGAAACTGGCGTTGCCAAAACCCGTATTTTATTCTGTCGCTTCAGTTAATGATGGTGTTTTTGTGTATGCATCTGTGTCTGCATGTTGGCATGTATCCATGCGCATGTGCGTGTGTTTATGCGGCCTGTGTTTATTTCGGTGAACTTTTATTCAGAGTAATGTACGGAATTCAGATCTTGTCCATTCAGATCCCGCGAGCAGTACTGAGTTGTAATAAATATATATTGTTATTATCATTGTTATTAATAGATTTATTTTATCATAATTCTTCTTCATCTTAGCAGTCTTTCTTTCGTTATGTGCCCTTAGTGTATTATTCGGTCGCCTATCATTATATGTA